AGTCAGACACAGTCTGCTGCTTTCCTTTACAACAAATAATGTTGGTAATTTGATGGCAAATGTAGTGTAGATTTTTTATTAAATTCTACAGAGTTTGGTTCACAACACACAAGAATGAAAATGCAGAAGAAACATTTATAGATAAAGATGAGTGTTTTACAGTAAGGAGGAAACATTCTCCATCATATATCATATTTCAACTCTAGTTAGACTGTAATTTTTTTCAATCTTTGCACATTTTATATACATATATACAGGTATAAAAATAATTTCTGAAATATAAAGCACTGTGTTTCATTTAGTAAGGTATAAAATGATGCTCAGATTTTTAATATTATTTTTACCACCAGGAATGCCTTTATTTTTAATATCTCCTCTTGACTAGGAATAGGTTGCTGAAAGTTACCATCTGCTTCCAGTTTGCACATAAAATTCCAATTAGCTGAACTTCATATATGTTTTGCAAGGTAATTATGCTTACTTTTTTCCAGAATGGGAATATATTTGTCAGATAGTATCTGGATGTCCTCATAAGCACAGCAATCTTAGTTTGACTTTGTCTGCCCCCTAACATGCTCAAATAGAAGGTTATCAATTAGGTTGATGAGAGATTATGGCCTTTGATTACCACTGCTCTAAAGTACTCTGTTTCCCCTTGATTACAAACATACAGTCAAGCTTAACAAGAACCCTGGTTTTCAGTTCCACAGAGAGAAAGGAACTTTAGCATTTCTCTGTATTAAGAGTATTTTAAAATAGAGTGTCTATGTGCCATTTTTTGTGTAAACAATTTGGTTTCTTACATAATTATCCTGAGCATGTATCTATCAAAGATTTTGATAGATCAAGAAAATAAATTATAAAAATAAATATTTTGAAAATAAAATAAATTATAATCCAATCCTAAGGAGTATTATCAGCAAAAGTTACTCATTTCAAAGTCACACTACCAGTGTGGATACTCACAGACAACTATGCATTAGGAGTGGTAAAGGGCTCAACTCAAGCACTTTCATTATTATACAGAGGCTTCAGAAACCAAGCAGAAAGGATTCCAGAAGGCCTTTCTATTCTCCCACTGCAACCAGTGACAGTAGCAGGTATAGTAACTGTTGAAATGCTGTTTAAAAATGTTTAACACCCACACTCTAATTCATCTGAGCCATAGTTTGGGAAAAGTGAAACCAATGGACACTGTGCCATTACAGGTTAGGTTTAAGTCCTTATTTTACTCTGTCTGAGTTAGCTTTTTCTCAGTCTAGATAAAGCCAAATATGATTCCCCTTCCTATGCTTAGCATTTCACATTAAATTAGATAAACCCTATTCAGTTTTGATCTCTTCTTCCCAATTAGTATGTGCACAGATACCCAGCCTTGGAGTAACAGAAAAAATGTTAAGGTAGCTGAACAGACCTTACTTTCACACAATCTAACATTTGACAACAACATTATTATCACATCTTTGAAGTAAATCTAGTTACTCAGTCCTAAGTGATTTTCTGTACTCATTAATTCCTACCACAAAACACAAAGCTGGGACAGTTTAGAGCATTATTATGTTTCCTTTACAAAAAGCATCATGTCCTGATGAAAAGTTATACAAAAGATTGATTTTGTAACTGTGAAATAAAAATCACTTTAAAATCAAGAACCACTACTTCTGAGCATTGCTGCTGTTTGAGTGATGCCAACACAGCCTTAAAGTGGTATCCTGTTTGGAGGAGAAAAAGGGATTCTTTTTAAAGATTGCATTCTACATTTTCCATCTTGTTATTTGAATGCTATTGCACTGCTGCAACTGGTTAGCACTGCACATCTGGCTGAATTGTCTTGAACTGGTATTTTCCCTAACTATTGTGAATGTGTATGATGGTTTTTTTAAAAAAATATTGTATGCACACTGAAACAATGCCCTGTTTCAGACTGCTACACACAATTAGTGAGAGCATGTTTTTTTCTGATTTTGTTTTCAATGTCAAAAAAGTGCTATTTTTAAAGTTAGCCACCATGAAATTCTAGCCATGCTTTTACAATGTTTTTTAATTTTGTGGGGCTTTGGCTCTTAATCTCATAGGCCTGAACCTCACACTGGAAGTGTTATCTCATAAAAGCTCTAAATTTCAACGGCTTTTACTCTACAGCAACTATTTTAAACTTACATTTATCAGGAAAAAGAGCATGTAACTAAAATATTCTCATAAAAATAGTTTCACAGAAACAAAACAGATAAATGTTCCATTCAGTAAAAGGTCATTTTTTCATAACTTTGGCTACAGAAGCCCTACAATTCAGCCAAATTTGATTCCAAAGCCAAAAGTTTCCTGTCTTCCTGCTACAAACCATCACATTAAGATTTTGCAAAGTCCATCAGACTAGTGAGGGGCAAAAAGTCAATATTTTCTCATAAAATTACCATCATAACCAAATATTGTTACTTATAAATACCACAATTTACAAGTTTCACAACTATAAAACATTTGGAAAAAAAAAAAAAAAAGATGGATGGGAGGGGTAAAGTGATATTTCTTATTTAAAATAAACAAACACATAAATATCCAGAGCCTTAAAAATACACTGTCCTGCTTAGCTTTCTAATAGAAAGGACATGGAAGGCCCCAACTTGTGCTCAGCTAAAATTTCCCTGCCACAGGGGAGCTCCCTGCTGACACAGAGCCAGCAGGACTGGATCCTGCACAGATCCCATCTGACACCAGCACAGGATGCATTAGGAGCTGGCAAGAAGTGGCCAGAGCACATTTTATTCTTCTGAGGACTCACATGCCTAAATTGCACTAATTTATACTCTGACTAGCCCTGCCTTTTACCAGGCAGTTCTGCTAGGCTAAGCATAAATCCAGTGCAACAGAGACTCTGGATTTAGCTACATATAAGAAGTCTCTAATGGTAAATCATAAATTAGCAAAAAACACTGAATGAGTTTTTACTGTCCTGTAAGATTTGGGGCAACTTAAAGCCTGGACAAAAGCAATCAGTCTTCAGAGCTGTCACACTCTCTCCTAAGCATGACAACCAGGTTCCTTGGTTTATGCAAGCATACAAAACCTTGGATATGTTCTTAACTGCTCCTATGGAGGCTATTGAGAAGTCTCATCTGTACATTAATTGCTCATTTTTCATTGTAAGCGCAAAATATCTGGCTGCAGGCAGCAGGGTTTCCTGACAAAAATGTGCAATTGTGTCTCTTGTGTTTGTCCAACTGTATTTCAGACACAAGCTTAACTTTCAGCACATTTTTCAACTAGCAAAAAGAGGATTGAACAGGACACATAAGGAAAAGAAAAGACACTCAGTGGAGTCTCTGTCTTCCTTCTGTTCTTCCATAATTTTCTATGAAAATGACAGAAGGAGTTTTGCACCTTTCTTTATAACAAATCTGGCATAATGCTGGCTGGCACTCCCAAGCTATGTGTAGGTTCAGCCCAGGATACACCCTGTATCATTTGTTCTCTGAAGAACACTGTGCAGAATTGGAATAATGAAAACCTGGCTTCTGGTTTTCCAGATACAGATTTTTACTACCTAGTAAAATGTGGGCTTTCTGACCTCTGCCAGTTTTATGTTTGTGCAGATACCAAATTTCTGAACATGTGCACGCCAGTGATTTTGCTCAGTTGTTCCCAAGCTTCACTCTTGAGGTGACCACCATCAGAGACAGTGCTGACCTGTGGTAGGACCATCTATGCAAAACCAGAAGCTTCTTGTCAGGCCAGGTACATATTCAGTCACCTCCAACCCTTTAATTACAGTCTCACTCATCCAAGAAGGATCCCCAATTCTGTGTTTTCATCTACCACCGCTCTCAGCTCCCAAACCAGAGCCTCTCTTACAGTGTCCAATCCCTTACTGACCTTTGATTGGACACCAACACCAGTCAGGGTGACAGTAACTGCAGCCACATCCTCCTACCTAAAAAGCTTCCCTGCCTCCCCAACCCTGCTCCCTTCTGCCTGAGCCCTGCCTGATGCTCCTGAAGGCAGCCCTGGGAGCTGGGCAATGTGGGATTGTGCACTCGCTGCTGAGAGCATTCCTGCAACTGCAGCCTCAGAGAGAATCTCAACAGATCAGTAAAAACCTCCTGTGTGGATCTGTTCACCTCATGGCTCAGAGAAGTGCTTGTTACAAGCAGAGTTAACAGCTGCCATCATCATGTGCCACTTTCAGTTGGTTTTGTACCACAATTTGGGAATGTCTGTCTTAGACAATAGGCACAAATATGTGTAACAGTTACATTTGGATCTGTTCTTTTCTCTTCCTGACAATGTTCTAATTTAAGATCCTAGTTTCACTTAACCAGACATTTTTAATGGAGAGAACTCCATTCCCATATGGCACCTTCAAGGACCATGACTCCTCCAGAAATCTGTATTACGCAAGCCAAACAGTGCTAACAGTTGTACTGCTAACAGGTCACATACTTGGGGTTTGTTTTTAGACTAATGTTTGTTTAAAAGTGAGGAATACATTTTGGATTGTAAATATGTGTTCCAAAAAAACTGTGAAGAGAATAAGGAGAGTCAGATGGAAGAATTTTACCTCTACTTTGTGCTGATTACATAATTTATCAAGAAATTGTTCCACAGGCCTCCAACAGATGCTCTGTTGTTAAAGCCATGAAAAGTCATTCAGGGAGAGAGTAAAGCCTCGGGGGTGTGGTCCACATGCTTCAGCACATATATCCTCAGCCCTGGCCTGCAGATAGCACATCTGGTCCAGGCATGGACCTGATGGTTGGCCAAGATACAGGCTTACAATAATGCTGCTTTTTTCAGCTTTAATGTAAGCCTGTTTTCTTGCCAAATTCAAATCCTGCCAAAATTTGGCCAAAGATGTTTGCTCGATTGTGCAATATCTTAAGTTTATATCCAACAACTCTTAGCAAAAACAATTGTATCGTGTTTTTAATGTTTACAGGCATTAACAATATTTAATTTTAAGTAGAATTTTACTGCTGACACTCTCGTGTTTTACAGTAAATTACCTTAGAGAGGGTTTTTCCATTAGCTCTGAGTGTCACGAGTCCTGCACAGCACACCAAAGCACTGGAGCTAGAGAGACCAGAACTTGGAGGGATGGTTCCATCGAGCAGACAATTCATTCCAGTTGGGTTATTGAGACCAAAATGTTCCTAACAATGAAAAAATAAACAATCTCAGTTTCAAGTACAGACAGGCTCAGGCTTGCAATTATCTGATACTTAGAAAGAGAATCCTTCTGCTGAATTGCTGGAAGCAAGGACCTGCTTCTGGTATCTACAAAATAAAACAAAAGCAAAATTTTCATTCTGTTCCTTAAGAACAAAGCCAATGGTGGGGCTTCAGCCAAAGGTATGTCTGCAATGGCTGTACACAAACAGCCATATAACTACCCCAAGCAGAACTCAGGATGGGCTGCACGCCCAAGAATTCACCAAGCTTCGTGGGTGGGTTTTGCAGCAACTGGCTCTGCTTTGAGCTGCTGTGGTGACAATGCAAAGTTACCACTCCTTTTATACCCTACTTTTGTCCTTTTCTCCACAGCTCTTCATTTAGGCACCACAAAGAGCTCAAGGCCCACTTTATGCTTCACTTCCAAGGCTGGCACGCGGTATGAGGGAGCCACATGACACTGAGGGGGAACCAGTAGCCATGCAGGGTTTTCAAAGCAGATACTTGTGTCCTGAAGCACCCACAGGACTGACACTGGGAAAACCACAATGGTACTTAAGGAGCTCTGTGCTTTAGGGTCACAAAGACACACCTACCAGTGGGGATGTTCTCTGGCATGCTATTTTTTGAATGAAGTTTAAAATATTCTAACGTACATGAGAGATACCACAGATAATACATTGAATGCAGAAGTCATAAATCCTCATGTACATACTCTTTTAAATATTCTTTAGTTGCTTTTTCTTTTTATTTATAATCACTTTTATATACATTTCTCTCTGTTATTAAGTTTGAAACAAACATGCAGTACTTATTAAGAAATCATTGTATATGGGGGGTATACGAATAACTAACTTCTGATGCAATTTACACATCAATAAACTGTTACAGTGCCAATAATCAGAAAAAATAACAGTATTTCCATGAAGAAATGTTCATCTTGAAAAGATTTCTGATACTTCTCCTGAAACAACTTCAACCATAAATACCAATGATAGAGATCAGCAAACACAAAGAGCCTCCTTTAAAGTCTTCTACCATCACTTCAAATTATATTTTGAATTTCCTGTTTTACAAATAAAGGAAATTCATATCTAGCATACTATTGCTGCCCATGCCCCTTCATGAAGAACACTAGACAGGCTTGTTCATAAACAGAAAATGCTTGAGTAACCAGAAACTGATCCACAGTTTCTGGATCGTCTTGAATATGAATCAGGCTCGCAGACTTATCACGCGATGTTTAAATAGAAAACGTACTTCAGTTTCAAAAATGAAAATGGATTTTGCCAAGTTCTGCAATAGTTCTGTCCCAAAAGGATAGCATGCTCAACTTAATATAAACAGATTATCCTGCTGGACCCTCTGAGTACTTGTATTTCAGGCTTTCTTAAGTCTGTAACATTTATGCTTATTTTCTGCCAGTACCAGAGTCTGCAAACCTGCTTTGCAAATTAACCTTCAAGTATGAAAGCTTGTCCTTAGGAAACAGATCTCAGTAGCAGACTGCAAAATAAATAAAGTCAATTGGTCATGCAAGCCTTAATATAAGAAAGGATATATTGTAAAGAAACCTAATCTATATCTCTACATTCAGTGCAGTTTAAATGCCTGTATTACTGAGCAATGCAAAATTGAAAATACTCATGTTACTGCATGAGTAATTTATTTGGGTCTATGCATAGGAGCAGGGGGCGGTTTAGGACCTGTGAATTGTAATAAAGTGATTTGTGGCACTGATTGTTCTGAATATTGTATTTTGAAGACTTCAGTGGCGGGTGTGAGGTAGGCTTTTCAGCAGTCTGCAGTCCTTATCTATTGGAACATCCTGTGGGGTGACCTAGACAGCCTATCCTAAGGAAAACTTCATGTGCTTTAAAAAGCACATTTACCCATAATTTGGGCTGGGCTGGAACAGGCAACCTGTTCCTGACCTACCATCACTGTTTAGTCCATCTGCCCTTCCAGAAATATCATTAGATTGACATCAAGCAGAGAAGACACCTTTTTTTTTCCCCTCAAAGGGCCATGAATTCTGTGAATCCTGTGCCTCACCTGCAAAGAGCAGGTGAGATTTGCAGGAGCCTCGATGGGGAGTTAAGGCTGCCTCCCAGGGCAGCAGTGAGGAGCAGCACCTGCTTTCACCTGGGTCTTGGGGCCAGGCTGCAGAGGGAGCTGCCCAGGGAGACAAAGCTGGAGTGGGCAGACAGGAGAACATCTGGGAGGTTGTGCTCCTTCCTTTTCTGTAAGTGTGCCCTCTTCTGCACAGCTGCACTTTTAACTCAGGACATTCTGAAAATCCCATTCAAATTCCAAACCCTGAAAACCACCATGAGTAATGGTTCTTAATGAATTATTTCTTCTGTATGCTGTTTACTTGGCTTTTGCATATTTTTTTTGCCTATTGCATGAATCAGCTTCACTCAGCTGTTGTGCACAAATTACAGGTTTTCAGCTTTAATGCAAGTTCATTGTTTTTAAATGCTTCCATGGAAGGAAAAGGGTTAAGATATGATCTTCATGTCCTGAAAAACAAACCTCTAAACCTTTTTCAAAGCAGATTTTAATTAAAGAATTCCATTGGAAAGCATTCCTTTTGACTTCAAAATCCAGAAATGTCATCCTGATAATGTTTGATCATGACTTTCCAAAGCAATTATTTGCTACTGTAATTTGTTTTATAGAGATGAAAATAGTGCTCTGCCAATATTTTAAAGCAAACCAAGTCATATCTCCTCTTCAAGTTTTAACATTAAAATACTTAACTTTATGTTAAAAAAAACTGTAGAATGCAGGAAAACATTTCAAGGGTAAATAGGTATTCTTGTTGTATTTTACTTCTACATTAATTTCATAAATTAAATGAATTTGGCTTACCTGAATACCCTTCAGTCCACACAGGAAGTAGTTATGCCACTGAGGTTTGGTTTTGTTAATCTGGATGTTATTAACACTAGTACTGAAATCCCTGCAAAAACAGAAAAACCTTAAGGCTTTAATTTGTATTAAATTTAGTTTGGAAAAACATGGCTTGTTACTGCCACCTGCTGATGGAAAAAACTGGCTTGATGGTTTTCAGTGCAATGTTTTCAGGCTTGGTGTCTTGTTTGAACTTTTTACATATCTTCTTTATTAATCATTTCTTTATGGTTATTTTAGATGAAAGCATAAGAATTCTTGAGGAAGTATAAAGAATATATTAAATAAATCCAGAAATTAAGCTGCCTTTGACATCCTTAATTAAGGCAGGATGCCTTCTATCATGTACGTGTATGCTATCATGATTTCTTAGAAGTGGAAATTCAAATAATCATATCTGTCAAACCATGACTAGAGACAGATAAACTTCAGGCTCTCTGGTAATTCCTGCTCAGGATTTCATCTTCATTACCTTTGCTCTGAATGGCACTTCACTAAAACAAGCCTAATGCTCCAGATTTCTATTATTTATGTTACAAGACAAAAATATTTAGTTTAAATATTTTATCTGTTTCCTCCTGGATAATTCCTACTCCACCTTTCTTTCAAAGTAATAAAAATACTGAGCTTGAATGTTCCTGAAGAACATCCAGGTGCTGTCAAAATGGGCATGGGTGACACACAGAGGCCTCAGGGAGGTGCAAGTGTTTTGGCAATCTGTACCCTTGAACATCCAGGAATTTCATGTGCTTGATGTTGTGACAGAAGGTGCCCAACGCAGAAACAGCAAAGCCACTGAGAACAGCAAGAAATCAAATGAAAAATATTCAGAAGTTCCAGACTAACATGTGCTCTACAAGGCAAGGTCTGCTAAAAAATATGAACAGAGGCAGCTGAATTCCTGGAAATATTTAACAGGAATAAAACCAGTTTCAAGAAATAATACTTACAGTCTGTAACTCCTAAAAGGATGGAATTTTTCTTTTTTACACTGGTCCTAGTAAAGTACATAGATTATTGATTTCCTGGGTTTATTTTTGTCCAAAAGGACAACACTAATTAATACTTGTAATGGATACCAGTGAAAAGATGTTTTTATCAGTTGATTATTCTGTTACCCATGGAGAAAAAGTTATACAAATCTAAAGCATCTTTAGACATTCAAGTTCAACCTTAATTACAGAGCATCAGCTTGGTGCGCAGTTTAATGTGTAAGCTGCTATCTTAGTGCCACAAACAGGATTTTATCAGCAGTGCAGCAGCAAAGATTGCACAAAGCTAGAGTAAGAAATTACCAGGTTTTGCTGAGGAACACAAAAGATATGAAAGGGAGTATTGAGATTAGAGTACTAAGGAAGTTTGAGAATGGCTGTAAATTCTTCCAATTTGAGATTCATGTGTATTTAGAATGATCTCCAAGAGAATAAAACTTGCTTAGGGTTTTTGAATAAAATAACCCCCCCCACGAGGCATTTGTAAAATAGAAAATACTTGTCATAAGTAATGAAGATTTTAAAATTCTGTATTTGTTTATGCTTGCTTCCTGAAATATTCCTAAATTATTGTTGTAAAAAACAAGGCTGGTAGAAAGCAATGGATGAAAGTGATTAAGAGAAAAGGAATCTTAAGTCTTCTTTGCCTCAAAGAATTCTAAAATATTTTACCTTCATAATTCATTTTACCCTCTCAGACAGAGTAAAATTTCAATGAACAAGAAGACACATATTATAATTATATATTTTCTGGTTCTCAAGATAAAATAAAATAATGACTTCTTAAAATGCATTTTGCTATTTTTTGCAATCTTCTCACATAAAAAATGGAAGAAAAATATGGCTTTGATTTTGGCAGGTTTTATATGAACATAATTTACACAAACACAGAATGTTGGACTGTCAAAATTCCCAGAATCCTTAAGTCTATTTTTGTTATGATATTCAGTTTTTATAAAAAACAATTCTTAAATATCCAAGCTTTATCTTAAATCAGTGAATGTTTAGGCTTGCCTTTGAACCTCCTACTTAAAATTAGGCCATTTAAGATCAGAACTTTATAACAAAATAAAATATTGGGAAAAACATACCCATGAGATAAAAATACTCTTATATTGTCTCTTCCAGCCTTTCTGTTTTAAAGAATGCTTGGGGGAAAAACGCCAGTTCTCCATAACCAGACATAAAAACTTCAATTTTTCTGTATAATTAGAAGAGATAGGATTTTTAAGTAGTGTGTCTGAGGTGGTTTTTACTGCTTGAAAAGTAAATAATCCTTAGTTTTGGGAGATCAATTTGGCTCTTTCTCACAGAACCTTATTGTCTTGTCAGTCTGGTAGTTTATCTGTTTGAGTCTTCTGTACAAATACCCTGATTTAAAAACAAACAAACAAAACTTTCAGGTTTTGTCGTGAGATGGAAACGGATTGGTAATTACCATCCTCTGGTACTTCTGAAGGCACTTTGAAAAGTATAATGTCAGATATTCTCTCTACACATACTTCTCAATTACAAAGATGTTTTGTGAAGGGAAGGTATCAGGAACTTCAAAAGAATGTAAGTTTTGAATACCTTTTTAGTCCCAATAACATAAAAGGCATGAGATCAGTTGAGATAATTTATGATAAAAAACAAACAGGTGTTTTTCTAGCAAGCTGTTCTCTGTTCTATTTCTACTAAAAGTTAACATGAACTATCAGGGTGGAAGAGTGTTACAGAACTGTTCCACATTTTACCAGTTCACAAAATAAGAATGAAACAGGAAATTGTAATTCTACAGAGGATTCTGGTTAGTCCTTGGTCACCAAAGGCCTATAGATGCACATTCACCACAGGCATAAATCCACCAGTGCAACAGGCTGGGAAAAAAAAGACATACTGTCATCAGTTTTGTTGTGTGGTGTAACATTCAAAGTGTTGAAAAATATTTCTTTGTTATGAAATTATGGACATGTTTTAGCTTTGTTTGTAAGCAACAGTGTCTCAACAAAACCAAGATGCTTAATGCTGTGTTATGAGATCTTTTCTTGGTTTATGGTTTAAAGCATATGATTTTAAACTGAAACTAGGGCAGATGTAAAAATACAATGACAGTGTGTGCAATTTAAATTCAAAAGCTGTAATTCTACATTTTGTGGAACTGTCCTGAGAGGGCCATTTCAATTGCAATATAAGGCAGCAAAGCTTGAAGACCAAGTGAAAATGTTTACCTTTTCATTACTGCTTTAGTTTGTGTTCACTATTACAACTTGTCCTAGTTAAAACTATTGTAATTCTGAAGCCATTGTCTCTTGCAGAATGCTTTTGCAACACAGCTTAAGCCCTGGTGGGAGGTTGCAGTTGAAGACAGGGAAAGGTCCCATGCACACCTTCCATTTCCCTTCCCTGTTCACCACTGCTTGTTCCCACTGTTTACCCCAAGTCAGCTTTAGTGCTGAGTGCATGGCAATTCACTAAAATGACAGAAAATTATCCAAGCAAAAAACAGGGAATAGTGCACTTTACCTTAAGATCAAACAAGTACTCTACACCTGCTAAAAGGCAGAGGTTGAGTTGATCTTAGAAGCAGGTACAGGGAGACTAGAGGTAAAAGAAGCCAAGCCATTGCTTTTTGCCAGTGGCAAACTCTTAATTCAGCCCAGCTATAATGTGAAAATATATTCCACAAGGTGAAAAATCTCTGAGTATTTATACTTAGCATGGAAGTACAAATTCCTTTGAACTGTCTTAGTCACAGGCAGCAGTTCAGAATATGTTTATAACAAACTGAGTTTCAAGCAGGAATAGGTGCTCAAGTATTTCCCACTTTTGACAGTGTGTTCCTGTCCCTGTGCTGCCACACATTCTGCTTTCAGGAACTAATTTACCAATTAAACCAATGGCTTAATAAAAATGGCTTAAACTAAGCTTTTGCTGATTCTCATTTTTGCAAAATGCCCACAAAAGCTCATGTGGGTGAGTGACCTGATCTGAACTGCCATGCAACTACACAAATATCTGTCTGTGACAAAGAGGCAGAAAAACGTGCCTGAAGTTGAAAAGAGTGGCAGGATTATTTCCCTATGTTCAGCACTTGTGAGACCATAGCTGGAATATTGCATCCAGTCCTGGGGTTTCCCAATACATGAAAGACATTGGCAGGGAGTTCAGCAGAAGGCCAACAAGATTATTTACAAGGGATCTTCAAAGGTCCTTTCCAACCTAAATTGCCCTCTAATTCTATGAACAGCTGTGGAGGAAGTGGAAGTGAGGGTATACAGGTTTTTTGAGCCAGGATTGTTGCTAAAGCTGTTGTGCTGCGAAAACACAGGCCCAGGTTCTCCAGAGCAGGGGAGTGTTACCTTACTTTTGCAGTAATTGATTACAAAACATTTCACTCGCTTCCCCAGGGGACATGGAGCTGCTGCCAGTTATGGAGATTATATCAAGAAAGATGAGATAAAAGAAGGGAGGACAGAATTGCAGAGTTTTAGAAGGATTGAAAAATCAGAGGCTTTACAGAGTAATATGAACAAACAGGTGGGAGACAGCAGCTGCAAAGCTATTGCTCTGAACTAATAGACATGGCATGGAGTCAGTCTGTGGGATTCCATCTGCTGAAATAAATTGTTTACACAATCAGACTCTCTATTGCAATGGAAGTCTGTCAGATCTCTGAAAAGGTAAACTGTATTGCAGTGCATGAAGAGGTTCATAAAAAATAATGAATAAACAAATTAATTACATACAAGTACAAAGAACTGGTATTTGCCAGTTGCACAACTTGATTTTGTGAAGGTTCTACTGCAATCAGGATATCTTGTTCTATAGCCATGGGGAGCACAGCATAACCACAGTAGTCTATGTGTTCTCCTAGCAAAGAAACAAAGAAAATACTTTGTAATAATTCTTTCTAGAATAGCAGTAACACAATTTCTATAGGGCATCAGTGTTGTTTACTGGATGAGACAATTTCTTACTGTAGTTTCAACTCTTATTACCTAAAGTTTGGAGTATGTTTCTTCCATTTCTTATTACTTCACAAAATCTTTTTGTTTCTTTAGTGATTTTTATCTATTGCACCTGTTTATAAATGTTCGTATTTTAACACTGGCTTACAAAAATTCTAAAAAAAACCCCACCATGTAGATTACTGTCCAAGAACGAGAACTGTCATGTACATACAATTTCTGGACCTTTTTCCAAGAAGATAACTACTATATTTAAATAATTATTAATACAGTTGCATACAACACATAAAGTAACATTCAAATAGAAAATGTATGTAGTAAACATCCTCTCCCTTGGGACTAATTCCCAGTTACCATATGCTGTCCATTTAGTCTATATGAGATGTTCACACAACACTGAGATAAAAATTAACATCAACTGCATAATAAACTAATTGACTTTTACAGCTCTGTTTCTCAGGATCCTTTTACTAGGTCTTCAAAAGTGTAGGATTATTTTATGCAAGAAACTCAGCTCCAGGGAGAACACAATCCTAATATGGACCGAGAATCTAAAAAGTAAGGCTGCTACAGAAATAAAAGTAAGTCCTAAACACAAAACAATTGTGACTCTCCAGTGAATCACACCCACTATTTTAAGTTCTGTGGACACATCTCTATGGAAGAGTAAATAAGAGATGATGGTAGAAGAATTTTATGCTTTATCATGTATATTGCTGTGGGGCTGGTTATATTTGGTAACTTTAATTGATTAAAAAAAAAAAAATTAGCTGGCAAGTTACTCCAATTTTCAAAACCATCACTACTGTCTATGAATGTTTTTCTCCAAAACTGATATCCATGTAGAGTTGTTTATAATAAGATACAGTAAAATCTAGGAAATTATATATGATTTTCCATTTATCACAAGAAACTTCTCTGAAAAAATAAAATTAAGACCAGCATTTTCATTCTGTGTTTTAAACTACTAGGTTTCCATGATGACAGATGAAGTAAAACAACATAAGGTTAATTTTTCTCTTTTACCTATTAAGTTGACTCGTCCTGGTGCACGAGCATAAAACTTGGGAGCTGATCCAAACTTTGATATAAACATCTCCTTCAGTTTCTGCAATCTGAAAGGCAGGTTAGAAACATTTAGAAGGACTATATTTGCATAAAAGGCAGGAAGCTTCAATGCTTCTTGAAGCAAATTCAGTTCAGCTTCCTGAAGTATGTGGAGTTTTCTCTGCTACCTCAGGAATGACATTAAGCTGGTTATTTCTGCTTTTCACATAACATTGAAGACTCTACTTAGATTTTGATTTTTATCAATTTTCCTATTTGGCATGCCCCATCTTTGTATAAATACATACACAGAGAACTAAAATTCCAAACATCAGATTATCCCCTTGACTTATGACAGTATTTACTCCACAGGATTCCAGCAAAAGTACTTCAGGTTTTCCTCCAGGTTTTAGAGGTGTCTGTTGTGCTACTGAAAGTTCAAAGCAAATAAACTTTGTCATATTGCTTTACTTCCTGCAACTATAAAGGAACCAACCTTCTGCCTGATGTTTGCTAAGTTGGAATACTTTAGTGTGTCATGCAGAACAGTAGGAAAACAAGGGCTGAGAACAGATGAAGCCATTTATTTTAGTGAGGCATAAGAAACTTGATAGTAATTAATTTTGAAATTACCTTAAAGCAAAATTTTAGTCTACTGACAAAAATCTAGTAACAGGAACCCTGATAAGGTTTCTACATTTAATCTACATCTAGAACTGGAGGCCTAGTTAATGCAAAGTAGAAGTAAGAAGACTGCAATGAGAAACAGATGTTAGAAAATTCCACAATTACTTTGTTTCTACAGCTTTGTAAAGGCTGTGTTACTGTTCAGCTACGTGTATGCAAATGTTTCATAAGGTTTTTATAAATGGAAAGCTACAAAATATGATTTGTTGTGATATTTTTTAACAGATCTTTCAGTACCCATCTTTGTGCCCTGTTACAAAGCTGTATTAGGTGTGTGATTTCCCCTTCTGATAATCTCCCCTACCATTGACTGGTATATCGCTCATCCAATTAGCAAAAGCAATTTCTGCCATTTCATTGTTCAATCCCTTCTCTAGATCACATTAATAATATTATAGTCCACAGGGGAATCTGTTGGCAGAATTCTAGGTGTTAACTTTATTCCTTTTTGTGTCAGTATTTAGAATGCTGCTTTGTTTCACAGATATTTTTATAGTAGTGTTGGTACCAAGAGACAACAAACAAAGCAGTCATGAGGGCATGTTTATCTAAGTGCTGACTGATCTCTTTTTTTAATGTGGGTTTTACAAGCAGGCGTAATGAAAGGCTATTTACAGGCTTTGGCCTTGATGTTGCAAGACACACACTGCGTTTCAAGCACCTCCATCAAGAAGAAAATTGTCAGAAGCATTAAAGCAAAGGCACTCCTCACAACTTCACACTTCCAAGTCTGGAAATGCTGGACTCGTCGTTTCCGTGAGATTTACGGTGCAATCGTATGCAAGTAAGCGGCGTTTTAAGAAGTGTCCCTTGTGCAGCGGAAAGGTTCGTGTGTGTGTGTGTGTGTGCTCATTGCACACACCGAGCAAGCACAAAGGTTCCTGTGCGTGTTCATTGCACACACCGAGCAAGCAGAAAGGTTCGTGTGTGTGCGTGTTCCTTGCACAAACCGAGCGCAACTCCACGGGCAAGGAGCGGGCTCTGACAGGTTCCGCAGCCATTCCCAGGACGGGCCAGGCTAGCGCTGCTCCAGGGCTTTTCCAGCAAAAAGGACGAGAGAATAATTAGCATTCCCCAAAAACTCTGGGGGTAAAATGATGTAGGCGAAATGATGAATGACTAAATGAATGAATGAACGAATGAATGAATGAACGATTCCTCCTGCAGCTCCAGCGCCACCCTGCGAGGGGCGTCAGGGCGGGCCGGGATGCTGTGGGTGGGAGAAGGGGCCGGAGCCAGGCGCGCCCCGGCCAGCGGGAGCTTCCCGAGCAGTCTTTGGTCGTGTCAGGGAAAAATTTGCCGAGTGTGGACGCGACGAGTCCACACCTCCTCGCACCTCAGCCCGGAGCATGAGGACGGGCTATCCCACCTATCCTCCCACCTCCCGCGGCCGCCCGCGCACCGCCCACCCGCCCCGGGATAAGCGGCGGCGGGGTCGGGGAGCGACCCACCCACCTGGGCTGCTCCACCAGCTGCACCGGCACGGCGCTGGGGCTGTCCCCCGCCATGGCGGCGGCACCGCGGGCCCGGCTGAGGCGGCTCCGACGGGGCCGCGGTCACGGGGCTGGCGAACGCCGCGTCCTTCCGGGCGGCAGCGCCGGCGGCCCGGCCCCGTCCCGCCCCGCCGGCGGTGCTCGGCCCTGGGCACCCCACGGCCCGCTCGGCCTGGAGCCGCTCCGCCCTCGGCCCCGCGGCCGCCACAGCCCCGCTGGGACGGGGACGCTGCTGCGACGTGCGAAGGAAATGTTTGGGGTTTTCCGGTATTCCTGCCGGGGTTCCTGCAAAATGCACGTGAGATGAGAATAATGGACAGTCGCATCCCTCATGGCCTGGAGGGATGGGTGTCTCTGTCCCCGTGTTTTATGCGGTGTGTTGTTCCTCCAGCTCCCCTCCCAACAGGCGGCCTCGTGGCTCCTGTTACCCTCGGATTAATGGCTACAGATACTTGCAAGGAACTGAGCATTTCAAAAGTGTTCGCAGGCTCATTCACTCAGTGTTTTGGTGTATATCTTTGTCCATTTTGCTATCTATCTTACTGTTCCTCATCCCATTCTGGCACCTTTAAGTGCTCAGAGTGAAGGAAGCACAGTAACAAATCTCATTGTGGGTTTTCTGAGGTAAAATATTTATTTCACCCTTAGTACAGTTGCAGAATACAAACACAGCTTTTAAAAGACTTGTCAGTAGCTGTAGGGGAAAAAAACAAACAAAAACCCACTGTCAGAAACGGTAACAGTGTAAAATGACCAACAATAGGAAAACCTGGAGACCTAGTAAATATTGTAGATGCATCTGTGTGTCTGTGAGAAGCCCAGGCCTTGCGGAGATGGGCAGGCAGAGCTAGTCACTTGGGGGTTTTGCCTCACTCAGTTGAAAGCAGCAGCAGAAATTAGCATGTAAAAATCTTTATAAAGGTATTGCTTTACAAGGCCTGTGGATTCAGAGTTCAGGCCTTTAAAACTGCTGCTCTGGTATTATTTGTTTATGGTGAACACATCGCAGGTAAACTCAGCAATACTGAGTAAAGCAAAATGTGGCGCTGGTCACAGCAACAGGCCGAGCTTTCACAGAATGGGTCAGGGTGAAAGGGAACTCTTCTTGAGACTGAACAGGCCTGGCTCCCTTAGCCCTTCCTCATAAGAGATCTCTCCAGACCCTTGTCAAACTCACTAGCTCTCTGCTGGACCTGCTCTAGGAGTTCCATATCTTTTTCCTACTGTAAAAGTCCTAACTGCACACAGTACTCCAAATGCGGCCTCATCGAGGCTGAGCAGAGGGGCAGGATCACTTCCCTCGACCTTTCCGGAGACGCGCCAGTCACCAGACTCGCAGCCTCCGGGGAGTACCCGGGCTGGCAGCGCCCAGCCGGACCCACGGCAGGCGGCCCCGGCGCCAGCACGGCGCGCTCCGGGCAGCAGCAGCGCCGGCCCCGGAGGTTCCGGCGCGCAGTGCCCAGGCCCCGCCCGGCCGCCGTTGCCAAGGGCCGGTCGCTAGCAGAGGGAGGGAGCCGGCGGCGGGGCGGCGCGGATTGGGCTCCGAGCGCCCCGGGCCGGGGGCGGGAGAGGCGCGGGCGGCAGCGGGTTCCGGGCGGAGCGGAGCCACATTGGGCAGTGCCGCGCGGGCTTCTGGGAGAAGGGGCCGTCCCCGCCACCGCCCCCCGCCCGTCCTCCGGCCAAGATGTCTGACATGGAGGATGATTTCATGTGCGATGATGAGGAGGACTACGATCTGGTAGGGCGCGGGGCGGCGCGGGGACTCAGCGGTACAGCCGGGGGTGCCGCCGGCGCGGCGGCGCTGCGGGCCGCTGCTGGTGCGGCCACCCGCCGCAGCGGCCGCCCCGCCGGGTGCTGCCCCGGCAGGGAGCGCGGACATCCAGGATGAGTTTCCCTCCCGGGGAGGAGGATGCGGGCAGGGGCTGCGAGGGGCGGGTGCTGCTGTCGGAGCAGCCGCTCGGCCGCCTCTCCGCGGAGGAGCAGGCCAGCCCCGGGCGGGCAGGTGGATAGGCCCGGGCTGGTGCCCCCGCCCCGGGCTGGCCCCGGTGTCCCCGCGGGGCTCCCGCTGAGGGGAGGGCTCGGGCGCGCTGCCTCCGTCCCTCTGTCCTCCTGCCCCGGCCCGAGTGTGGGCACGGAGCGAAGTGATAAAGTTGCCCGCCCTTCACCCCATCCGCGACTGCGAGAGGCCCTTGGGGCAGATACCGTACGTGTGCTTGTGTGAGCCACAAACTGGGGAAAAGTAGGGGGAAGAGAAAGGAGAGTGAGGAGAAATGGCCTCACAGCCGGTTTCTGATCCAGCGCGCCGAATAGTGCAGTTATTTCTAACTTTTTGTCTTTGTAGTGTTTGTAACCTTTCTACCACTCCCTTTTTGGTTTTAATTGTAAGGTTTGGGGGTTTTCGTGTTACATTTTGTTAAATGTTAACATCGGGTTTTGTCCTAAGCTTTTAAAGTTAAAAAATTGCTGTTTGTCTGATTAATTATATTTCTATTGCCCTTACGTTATATTGGAGCTTGAGGTTTGCTTGTTTGGGTTTTTTTCTTTTCTGAACTTTGATTGATTGATTTAGAACTAGAGACTTTTTAAAAAAAAAAACTATATATGGTAGAAGCTTGAGAGTCTGTTTAATTAATTTTAGCTAAACCTGTGTTAACAGTGTTGCAGTTACACTGAAAAACTCCAGACACTTGCTTCTGGAAGACTTGCTTTCTGGCACATTATTTGATAGTCATTGCCGCTTAGGAATTCACTTAAAATGTTTACCTAATTTTATTTGGAATAGTTTCTGGGCAGTTTTTGTTAGGAACTGCTTAGAATGGTTGGATGACAGTAGATACAGAATAAAAGCATCTGCTTTTGGTTTTGAGGGTTTTTTCCATTCATGTAAGAGTGCTTGTTTGACAGGCATTGACATCAAAACCCTACGAGCTGCTCGTGTCACTATTCCAAAAACTGTTTGCGTTCCCCTTTTCAGTCTATGAATGAATTCACATACTGTAGAGACAGCGTTACTGAAGGAAATACACAGAGACCATTAACAACATTTTGTTCCAAAATTAATTTCCATCATTTTTATTAACACTGAAATTTGTGTCCTGATGTGAAATACTGTGGTGTTCTTTTTCCATGTAGTACAATCAGAATTCATGTTCCATATCCTTCCATAACATCAGAGCTGGGCATGTAGAGAAACCATTGGAATTGCATTTTTTAAACCAAACAGATGTGAATAAAAGTGCAGTTCAAACTTACACTGCTTTATGTCAGTTTTCTCCAAGAATAATTAAGTCTAGTGCTTTTTCCTGTGTTTGTTTCTTTTGAAGTACTTTATTTCTCATTGGAAAAACCTTCCTGAAACACCTTGCTTGTGGCAGATTTCCACTTCTGACTGGGGTTACTTTTACTGGAACATTTTCATTGTCGTTAATTACCCTTCGCTCAGACCTTTCAAAATGTTTAAAATACTGCTTGTAATAATTAGGAGCACATTCATTTTTTTCTTTTCAGCGTGTAACACCCATGTAAAGCATCAACTAGTACCCAAGCTTCAGATTTTTAAAATTTCATTTCAGTTCATAGTTGATGGGGGGAAAAACCCCAAGAGTTGAAGAGTAAAAACATTCCAGCTAGATTGGCTTCAGCATTCTGGGACTAACAAACCATGATTGACTGTTGTTTTCAAAAATGCTTGAGACTGTAATTGTAGTGCTCACAGAACTGTTTCAGAAATAATTTAAGGGCCCTGAAGGTAGGGCCTGATTCCTTCCTTTCATGTTGGTAGCTTGTTAAATTAAGAGAAGACTGTGAGGGGATTCTAGAGTTTAGCATCATGACTGCTGCAAGAGGCTTTGCAACAAAAGAATGAGTACAAGACATAATACTCCTATCAGTGCAGAATTGAAAGTAAAAGAGCACATGTGAGTGCTGTGAATAAGAACCAGAGGAAAGGCAGTGATTACAGAAACAGTCAGTGAAAGAAGCAGCTATTTTGTCAAAATATGGTGAAACTAGGTTCAGGTCTCCCAGGGTAGCTGCCATCATAACAATTGCAGTGAAGACTCCCCAAAAAATTAATTTTGTCAGCTTTTATTAGAAGTGATTATGGCTGTTCCTCTTCAATGTGCACTTGACCTGCTGATTATGTAAAGCCAGTCAGTTAAATTTCCTTAAGTATGCAAATGTTTCACACTTGAACTGAAATGTGAACAGATATTCCAAAGTCCCAGATCTTTCCCAGCTTCATTGTGGAATTTTATATAATTAAGTGTAATTACTACATTGTTAAACAATTGAAGACTATCCAGGTTGTATTGGATTGTTTCTGTTTAGTTTTTCAGTAGGTCAAAAGTCAAAGTTTTACATGTAAATGACCTCAGCTACTCCTACAGAAATGGAGTTTATTCACTGGAGTCTTGATATCAGGAAGAAATTTCATTTATATTTGTGGGTGGATGAACCTAGATTCACAATTTGCTAGTAATGTGCTGTGACAGCTTTGATTATAACATGAATTATTCCACTTTATGCTTCAATGAACAGAATAATGTTTACTGGTCATTATGAAAGCCGCTCAATTTTAATTTTTAGTTTGGTGCTGCTAGGTGCCTTTCATGATTTCAGTACAAGTTATTTTTACTAGATCCAGCTTGAGGGTGGAGAAGTACAAAGAGGGAAGGACCATTGTAAATTCCATTTTTGTTTTCAGTCTGGGACAAAAGACTATATTTAGAATTGACTTGGAGGCTAAACTCAGTCTTCCTCCAGAAATTGATTCTTCCAGGCACAATGACAACACATTGACAGTTGTTGTAGTACATCTACTGGTTTACTTGTTTTGTTTTAAATAAATAAGGAATCTGTGGTGTTCTTAATGAGTCATTTTAGTGTGTTCTGAAATTCAACTTTAAAATTAATCTGAGGAAAGACTGAACAAATATATTTCCAAGCAACTGGTCTTTTTACCTTACAAAGTTGTATTGTTGCAGTGACTTGTGGGAGACCTGTAACAATTCCAATGAGCAGCCATCAGTTTGCACCCTGGAGATGGCTGCAGGTTCATG